GTTCGATTCGAGGCTGAGTCATGATTTCTACAGTATCCCGGAGCTTTTTTTGGAGATTTATACAAGCCATTCTCTGTATGGGCTCAACACTGGGTTCCCCACACGCTCCAGGTTCTCGCCACTCCAGTTTCCTCAAGTTATCACTTTTCTCACTCACAACACTGGCAACCACCAAAATCTTCGAACTTGACGTCAGGACAAGATGAACTTCGCAGCACAATATGCTGAAGGCTCGGCCGTGGATGGTCCGCACCCGCTACCGGTGCTGTGAAACATTCCTTGAGCAGGTACCGCTCGTTCGATTCGAGCCCGAGCCATACAATAGTCACAGGCCCGCGCTTTTTAGGAAGTTCACCCCGAGCCGCACGCTCCATGGATGCAATCCGTTCTTTAATCTCCCTCCCATCTCCCGCCAATCCATAAGTTTGGCATAAGTATATCTCGAGTTGATGCTTTTCTCGCTCCCAACTGGCAACACCGTTCAATTTTTAATTTCTAGAGCGTTGCCTCCAACTTGGGACTTGGACTTGGACGACAAGCCATATTATTTTCGCAACACAATGCTAAAAGACTAGTTGGTGGACGGTCCGCACCTGCATTACTTAAGTATTTGCTTGAATTCTGCAGGTATCGCTCGTTCGACTCGAGCCCGGGCCATGGCTAGGTTGCGTTGACAATTTTCTTATTGTTCAGGTACTTATCCGTATAGTTAACGGCTACTGTAGTTCAACGGAGGACAACTTAATCTCGTTCCGCAGGAAGAAATACCTGATCCAACCTTGCGATTCAACAATCGGTACGTGAATCGAGCGCGAGACAACATTATTTGAACCCAACCATGCTCAGAATCTAGGTAGGAAAGCCCTGGTAGCGGACGGCCCGCACCCACACGCAATGGTGTCGTTCGGTCTGACAAATTCCTGTGGGGTTGCTCGGTCGACTCGAGCCCAGGTCGTAATCAGCGTCGCAAGTGGTTTTTTCTGGGTGCCGGGTGCCGGGAATGTAAAGTGTCTGACCAACTATATTCCCAGGAATGGGCTAGGGTAGACACGGAGGTCCAGCGACTTTCTATTGGGCATGGCATACGTCAATTGCACTAGTACTTTCCTCGTCCTTTGGTGGTCGATTTGCTGATAAGTTTAACCCCGTTGCAAAAGAGAGGATAACAGGTCCGGTCGCGGACGGTCCGCACTCGCATGCCTTGTGAGTCTTGTTGCGATAGGAGTACTTGCAAGGATCCGCTCGTTCGACTCGAGCTCGGGCCATATGTAGTCAGTTTCGCTCATATCTTTTTATCTCGCCCCGCGTTCGGGTGAGGACGACAGAAAATTGTTCTTACCTTGAATCCGCGTTTTTACCTGAGGGAAGGATTGTGTGCAACGGGGACTTACAGTCACCGGGGTAGGTGTTGCAACTCGGGAGAATTCACCTGGGCGCATGAAACAATGCGTCGCAGGCGTAGCGTTCAATATATACGTTCAATCGCGCCCACGGCGGTGCAACATACGACGAAACAAGATGCTCAAGCTCAAGAAAGATAAGTCGAATATTGCTGGTATAATTTGTGTTGGAAGAACATAACTACACATTGAATAACGCATGCCCACCCTCCCGGAGTCCCGACGCGGCCCTGGACAATAGAGCTAACATCAGCAATTGAACAATGCCGGCGCGTCGAACGACTCGGGCCCCCCATTGCGCGCGGCGTACATCTCCGACTCGAGGTAGCGGAAGTAGTGCGTCGGAACGAGTTGCCCTGCCCGTTCAGCCCCTCGAGCGGGCGTCCGGTAGCCATCTGATTTCAGCACTGCAGGAAGCTTTTCTGGAGATCGAACCTAAGCCATGGACGCAAGAGCTCGGTTTCTTCCGGAATAGTACCCTCCCGTTGAAGTTCAGCCTTCCGCATTTCTCACTCCCCACTTGCTTCTCCCTCATCTTGTTTCAAGGCAGTTTGGTTGAAAATCCTTGCCTCGAACGCAGGTTACATATCTGGATCGCCGATTTTCCTTTCCACGCAAATTATGTATGAATCTAACCAAGTTCAGAAGGCATCAATGCAAGACCTGGTCGCGGACGGTCCGCACCTGCATCACGTAGAGGTGCCGCACGATCCATCTACAGGCATCGCTCGTTCGATTCGAGCCCAGGTCGTGAAAAAGTGACTCTGGCCCCATTTGTTGTTTCAACCGCGGCTGTTAACCTATTCATCGGTGTAAGGTCCAGGGATGCACTCCTATGCTCTGCATTCTCGGCAGGAATCTTTCCTTTGGGTTGAACAAGTCTGGGGAAAGTTTGGAGTTGATCTGGAGGGGACTTGTTAGTGCATTCAACCGAGTTTCAGATGATACAACAAAAGGCCCGGTCGCGGAGGGTCCGCACCTGCATTACGTTCAAGGTTTTGATATAAAACAACATATCCTGCAGTATACTCTCGTTCGACTCGAGCCTGGGCCATGGTTCGGTTGTGCCGCAGCAATATCATCTTTTTGCTGTTCATAGTAAGCTTACGGCCGAGTTTAACACGAGACAAGCTTACTCTCGTCTTTCAGCTATTTTGCTCAGACAGAACTGATTCAACCTTGCGATTCAATGTGGTACGTGAATCGAGCTCGAGGCAACATTATTTGAACCTAGCCATGTTCACATCCTGAGTTGAAAAGCCCTGATAGCGAACGGCCCGCACCCACACGCAATAATGTAGTTAGGTCTGACGAAGTTCTGTGGGGTTGCTCGTTCGACTCGAGCCCAGGACGTAAAGTTGGCACAAGTGGCTTTTTTTCTGGGTGCCGGGAATGTTGAGTATCTGACGAACTTTGAATTGATCTCCAGGTACATGTACGAGCTGGGGTGGCAGCGGATGGCTAGCTCACAGTGTACGCCCTCTGAGTACTCTGAGGTTCGGAATTCCGCGAATCGCTCAATTGAACGTGCAATTGTACGTCCTTCTTTTTTTCTGTGGTTGATTCGCTCAGTGACTCCGAGTCGGCCTAAGTACCAGGTTACAGAAGGCATGCTAACAGGTCCGGTTGCCTTGAGAGCCTTGTCGCGATAAGAATATTTGCAAGGATCCACTCGTTCGACTCGAGCCCGGGCCATGATCAAGCCCACCCCTGCCTTTTTATCGCGCCACGCCCTCAGGTTCGGACAATTGATTCAACATCAACACATAATAGCACTTACGTTCAGCGTTCTCCTCAGCGTTCAGGTAGGGATCATCCAAAGCCTGAGGGAACTTACGGTCACCGGGGTAGGTAAGTACGACTCGGGAGGATTCAGTATGAGTGTATGAAACGATGCGGCGCAGGTGTATAATACTACCGTTCAATCGCGCGCACGGAGGTGCGGCATACAAGGGAACTGGGACAGGGGAAGGAGTCGCAGCTCCAGAGGGAGAGAAAACCTCAAGATGCTCAAGCTCATAAGTCGAATGAAGGTATATTGCTGGTATGATGTGTATTGTAAGCACCTAACTACATATTAAATAACGCATGCTCGTCCTCCCCGAGTCCCGACGCGCCCTAAGTAAACGCATCCTGGTCAACAAAGCTGACATCATCATTGAACAGCGCCGGGGCGTCGAAGGACTCGGGCCCCATTGCGCGCGGCGTACATCTCCGACTCGAGGTGGCGGAAGTAGTGCGTCGGGAGGCTCCACGAGCGGAACGAGATGCCCTGCCCGTTCAGCCCAGCACGGGGGCAGAAGGTGGCGTCCTCCCCAAAGTTGAAAGAGCTTGCTCCCGTCGTTCACGTCCAGGTGCATGGCGCAGGAAGCTGCCCGGAGTATCGCGCGACTCGAACGAGACACAGCCGGGCGCGGCGGGGGAGAGCGCGGCGTGCACGTTACAGGAGGCGGAGAGCTTGAGCTGCTGCGAGTTGCCCGAGCCGACGATCTGCGTGTTGACGTCGTTGCCCGAGTGCGCGAAGAAGCGGTTCATGCAGCATGCGGTGGTGGCGCGGAGCGACACCGCGCGGCCGACGTCGAGCGCAGGCGCGCTGGTGGGCGACGCAACAGCGTACTGCGCCGACACGACGTCCGCCTGCACCGCGTTCTCCGTGTCGTCGAAGGGGAAGCCGGAGGGCATGACGCCCTCGTAGAACGTGCCCTGCGGGAACTTGGATTGTGGATCGACGTCGTCCCTTGAGGAGAGCGGGCGCCGAAAACAGCTCGCGGACACTCTGGCGGGGCCCTTAATGCCTCCTTACCGACCCCGAACAAGTTACAGCACGATTTTCACTGCCATTCAGCGCAGCTGACCTCGAGTGAGTGGTTGATGAGTCCGGGCGTTAGGTCCGGGCACCGAGGCACGTATGGGCATTAAAATTCACAGACATTCGAAGGCGTCTCGGAAGAAACTGAAAGCAAAAAAAAAGAAGAGTCAAGGAAGAGTGAAGGAGGATGAGATTTGCGCGTGCTTGGCTACGGCGAAGTTGATGTCCCGGTGATCTGTTTGCCGCCATCTTGTTTCCTACCACGCACATCCAAGTCCAACACTCGTCGTCCTTGGCCTCGACGTCCTTGGCAACAATAGGTCCTCGCTTCCTCGCCGATTTCCCACCAAACCACCGCTTTCTGTCAAGTTTTCCCGCTCAGAATATTTTTTTTGACTGTCAGCGACTGGGGGACTTGGACGTCAAGCCACAGTGAAGTTCGCAACAGGAGGATAAAGACTCGGCGGCGGATGCTCCGCACCCGCTACGCCTGGGTTTCTTGAACCACGCTTTCCGCGGGAGCCGCTCGTTCGATTCGAGCCCGAGCCATGTCTTCAAGTTCTTCGTTGTTTTTTCTCTTTGATAATTCAAATTTGACCCCAGGTCACTCATCTGCATGAACGCACACTGCGTCAATTTTTTTTTTCAAGATAATCTTCGATTTCTTGGTGATCAAGTGTCCTCAACTTGCTCCTTTCCTTTTACCTGGCAACGAGTTTCGATTCACTCGAACTTGCCTCCAAATTGAATTGCAACGTTAATCCATAACACCCTTCGCAACCAATGCTAAAGGCTCGGTAGCGGATGGTCCGCGCCTGCTGCGCGTGCGATGTTGAAGGTGCTTTCCGCGGGACCCGCTCGTTCGATTCGAGCCCGAGCCATACAGTTCATCGATCGATTCTCTTTTGTGATTCGATGCAAAGTCAATCGCTGCGTAGGCGCAACACTAGGTTCTCCAATCTCTCAGAATATCCTTCAATTTTCATCCTCAAGGTTGCCGCTTTCTCGTGCAACGAGCTTCGATTGGTGAACCTTGCCGTCAAGCCATATGATAACCTTGGCAGCACAATACTAAAGGCTCGGCGGCGGATGGTCCGCACCTGCTGCGCATTTGCTGAGGGAAATGTATTTCTGTGGGAGCCGCTCGTTCGATTCGAGCCCGAGCCATGTGTCTTCTATAAGAACTTTTTGGACATTGAACGCACGCCACTTGCTGCATGGACACAACACTGGGTTCTCCATTCCTTCGGCATACTCTCCAATTTCTCGCCGATTCAATTTCCCTCAATTTACCGCGATCGCTTGCCAGCGGTTTCCATTATTGAACGTTGCCCACGACTCCAACTTGAACATCTAGCCATCATGAACTTTCGCAGCTAGACGCAGGAGGCTCGGAGGTCCGCACCCGCTACCGGTACCGTGAAGATGTTCTTGGGCAGGAACCGAGGTTTCTTTTTTGGGAAATCGACAGTCACTCGCTGCAGGGAAACAGCACTAGATTCTGCCATCCAGCCGGCATCCCCCAATACTTTTCAGACTCGTTCCTCAAGTTTCCGCTTTCCCGCCGCCAACTGGCAAGGAGTTTCGATTCACTCGAACTTGCCTCCGAATTGAATTGGAACGTTAGGTCATGACTCTGGCTCAAATCGCGATACGAAAGACTCGGTGGCGGTTGGTCCGCACCCGCTGCGCTTCAGGTGATTTTCCATTCTTACCGCGGAAGGCGCTCGTTCGATCCGAGTCCGAGCCATGGTCCCTTGCTCCGTGTTTTTTGAGACTTTGATTACAAGCCACTTGCCGTACATATGGGCGCAACACTGGGTTCTCCAATCTCTCAGAATACCCTTCAATTTGCCGCCGATTCAATTTCCCTCAATTTCCCGCGATTGTTTGCCACAGTTTCCATTATTGAACCTTGCCCACAATTTGAACCTGGACGTCAAACCATCATAACCTTCACAAGACGATGCTAAAGGCTCGGCGGCGGATATTCCGCACCCGCTACGGGTACCGTGAAGATGTTCTTGGGCAGGAACCGCTCGTTCGATTCGAGCCCGAGCCATGTAGTTTGTACAGTGAACCTTTTTGGGGGAAATCAACGCAACGCCACCGGCGGCTTGGACGCAAAAACCGGTTTCTCTCAGACTACCCTCCTTTCTGTTCCGCTTTATTGCTCCCCAATGGCCTCTCGCTCATTTCTTCCAAGCAGTTTGGTTGAAAATTCCGCCTCGTGTTTTTCCGTCTACGCAAATCAGGTATGAATCCAGCCAGGTTCAGAGGGCAGCAGTGTAAGACGTCAGGACAAGATGAACTTCGCAGCACAATACTAAAGGCTCGGCGGCGGACGAGACTTGTGTTTTTGTGGGAGCCGCTCGTTCGATTCGAGCCTGAGCCATGGAATCCCAGCCTCGTTTTCTTTTTCGGACATCGATGAAGTCACTCGCTACATGCGCAACACTAGATTCTCTGATCCCTCGGAATAACCTCGAACCTCCTGTCGATCCAGTTTCCTCAAGTTTACTCTACCGGGTCTGCTGCTCCCCAAAGATTCCCGATTCTCAAGATTCAAACTTGAACAATATACCACAATAACCTTCGCAGCACGATTTCAAAGACTCGGTAGCGGGTGGTCCGCACCCGCTGCACGTATTGCCATTCTAGAATCTAAGCATGCTTTCCGCGGGAGCCGCTCGTTCGATTCGAGGCCGAGTCATGATTTCTACAGCATCCCGGAGCTTTTTTTTTGTTTTGGGGGGGATTTATATAATGATGAACATGCCGCGTCGCCAATCACGGAACACACCGAATCGATTGATCTCCGAGCCAACTTGTCTTCCACCACCATGCGCTCTCCACGCTTGCGCCTCATTTCCCTCAGATTTGCCCTCGAGTTTGTCTTATTGCATTCCCTTCACCCCTTCACCTACTTCCCCATCCCCCTGGAGTTTTTCTTACTGGTTTTTCTTCTTGCTTTTCTTTCTTTGTAGCTTGGTTCGTCTCATATCTCGGTTGCATCTCGGGTTTGCTGTAGTATAAAAGTGTAGTTTTTTCTTTTGTTCAGAATAGTAGAGAGGACAATGGCCGATCACACATCAATCAAAATCATTTTTCAGCCGCGACCAATCCGCCGACCGTAGCCTGGTCGCGGACGGTCCGCACCTGCATCACGTAAAGGTGCGACAATATCTGTCTGCAGGCATCGCTCGTTCGACTCGAGCCCAGGTCGTAAGGCAGTGAGGAGGATTGGCGCCATTTTTTTTTTCAGCTGCGGCTGTTGACCTATTCACAGGTGCAGGAACGCCTCACTCTCCTAGGCTCTGCATCTCCCACAGGACCGCAGGACTTGTTGATTTTTTTTTTTTTTTTTGATCAAAACAAATTCTTCCTTTGTATGACTGATTTGCGGGTGCGTTCAACCACGTTCCAGAAGGTACGGGAAAAGGTCTGGTTGCGGACGGTCCGCGTCTGCAATTACTTGAGAGGTTTTTCCAAGAACCAACAGTATCGCTCGTTCGACTCGAGCCCTGGCCGTACGTAAAGACAGTAGTGGTTCATTTTTTTTTGTTTGCGGGTACCCACATGAAGATTAACGCAACCAACACACCCGAGAAATTCACCTGCACTCTCTTCTCCTTCACGCTTTCCTGCAGCATTTACTCATTTACTCGTTTAACTTAGTCGTGTGTGATTGAGGCTTCGTCTTTTTTTCTGGTGGTACGGTGTATCAATTGATCTCACAACGCAAGACCCACAAATAGAACTTGCCAGGGTTGTGCAGCTACAGAGCGGTCAGAGGCTGTCGGACGGTAATGCCCTATAGCGAATGGTCCGCACCTGCATGCATGTGTGCCTTTATTCGGAGGTGATCCTATCCGCAGGAATTGATTGTTCGACTGGAGCTCAGGTCATTGATTTGAGAATGAAGGTGCGTTGGAATAACTCTCCTCAGTTGAGTCACGCATAGTAACCTTGCGATTCAGGAATTCGAATGTGTTATCTAACATTTCGTTGTGAGGCTCATCACACATGAAGGACAGGTCCGGTTGCAGATCGTCCGCACTTGAATTAAATTCTAGCTCAGCAGGACGTCAAGTTAGGCAAGCATCGCTCGTTCGATTCGAGCCCGGGCCCATCCCTGGTATTCATCAACCCTTTTTATTCGCGCTCTCTTCCGCTCTATCCTTCTCTTGCATGTCCCACAATACAAGAGCGAGTCCCGTATAATTCCAATGAGATATTCACGTGTGCTAACCTTAGGCGTGAGATGTTCGATTTCGGTTCGTGGTGGCGGGCTTGGCCAGGCTTTTCCAGATTAAACCTTTGTCAGAAACAAGTCAGAAATGACAGTTGCTGGTACGTACACCCCTCGAAAGGTCTTCAAGACTCTCAATAAACTTGCTCTGTCAGTCAATATTTTTGGTGCGCAAGTCAAGGCGGTGGTCGGCAATTTGGAACGCGCCCGACGTGTTTATCCGCGCACAGCCGGTTCACTGCGGTTCTCTGGGACAACGATTTAGCTGACATGGATTTCAAAGCGTTGGATTTTTTGAAGTTTCATTTCCATGATGATGGGTGCGCCGGAATATTCGTCATGATCAGTGGGCGGGGGCAGATTCATGGCTGTCAAGTCGGCGAACGGAGGAGACAACTGGTATCGGTTTTTCGGAGCTGAGAATTTCTGGGAGTGGAGGTATTTGGATTCTGTGGCCTCCGAGTCGCCATGATACAGCAAAGCTGCACAGAGGAATTGGAAGCCCTGTTAAGTTGTGCCCTGAGTTTACACGAGCCTCAGGATGTTATCAACATTGTGGATCGAAGAGAACGCTTGATAAAGCCGCCGCCTCGATTTTCAACCGTCTTGCCGAACGTGAGAATCTGAGTTGATCGCGGCTGGTTCTCGGCCGGATCAAGTTTGCCAAACAACCAACGCATCTTGCTTCCCGTCATCACCCCGCCACAACCCCGCCGTCGGACATCTCAGACTTGCCTCAGACTCTCAGAATATGCACTTTCCGGATACAGGCATTACACCAACTCGAGACTGCCCCGAATGCGCCAACTTGAAAGGCACCGAAAAGGCCTGTTCCTTCGGGCTCCGGATGACGTGGACTTCATCCAACTCAAATTCCCAGGTCAAATTCAACTCCAAAAACTTACGGCGGATCAAGCGGGCTATTGATGTGACGATTCAGAACAGTCAGCTTTGAGGTGCATCGATGGTCGGCGGCGTATTTCAAGGCTGCCGCCGGACTCTGAGTCTCTGGCAACCTGACTTGCAGCCGATTGTCCGGAATCCGGCTCAATGGCAAAAGAAGAACTGCGACACATAACACGAGCAACTTAGTCTCACCTGGCAGTCTCACTACGCCGGAGGAAATACTGAACTTTTCGCCCGACGCATCGGACCGCGCAGCATCAACGGCATCACGGATTTGCGAACTTGTTTTGTGGGCCGTGACCGCGTCCCATGACAAGTCTCTTGAACCCAAACCATGTGCATCCTAGTCCCAAGGAGGACTCTTTTTCACGAGGGTCTTGGGGGCGGTGATGTCTCCGAAGACTCGAGACTGCTCGCACGCAAAAAAAGACCCATGGATACTTACTCCCATTCCCTGAATAGCACGCAGCGTCTATTAATGTTGACCTGACGTCCGCTGATCCATTCGAAAGCTGACCTGGGACCGGGAGCGCCTTGTTGTCTCAAATCGAAGGGGTATTAAAGGATACCTAGTGCCCGTTCATCGATCACCTCCCTCTCTTCCCCCATCATGGTCGCTCAAACGCTCTTGCTCGTCCTCCCACTGGTTTCGTATGTTGCTGCCAACGCGGTCATTCGGCGCTCTCCGCCCAAGGCGCACGATGCCATCGTCCAGGTTATATC